GTCCAGCGCAGGGAGGCACCGGTTCTGACGTCACACGAAAATATCAGTCGGCTGGTTGTGGCACTGCCCCCTGCCGGCGCGACTGTGCTGCCACCTAGCTAAGCCTAGTCAGCCTAGGACGGGACGGTTTTATTTGTTCTCGTCTAGTGGTGCAGCTTGCGACGACACTCGGTCGACAATCGACATAGCTGTGCTGCAACATACCCCAGGTTCGGAGTCTCTCGGACGGCCAATCCTGTTCCATAACCACAGCTAAATCCCCGCTGACCTTAACCAGGATTGGCTGGACGACGTTAAATCTTCGTAGTTCGAGAGACACCGAACCCGGGGATAGTCTATCGAAGCCTTGGCGGCTGAAGAAAGGCTAGACATATCTCACTTGATTTTGGCGTGGCCAGCCTCACTTCTGTAGTTTTGCTTCACAGAATTCTGCGTCCTATTGAGTTTCCGGTTACGTAGTACACGACCACGTTCAGGAACTCGATGTTTTTTAGATACATCACGTAATGACAAACTTTTGGCAGCATTTACATTGGTTGCCTGCATATTTTGGTGAGGAAAAATCGCTATCGCTGTAGTACAGTCAAGACATACCACAAAGGATCAGAGCTAAAGCAGCATTATTAACCAAAAGTGTATTGCATTGATCACCAGCATGTTCGTAAAATAAAATACATCAGGAATAAAGATGACAACCAAGCCTCATGGACACTTATAACAAACATGAGCGATAAAGTGGCAACACAAATGAAAGAGAGAAGATGAATCTGCCCTTCGCAATCGTCAACTTAAAATAAAACTTCAAATATACAACAACAGACCTCTGTGCATTAAAAGAACACGAATACACTCGCTTTGTCGTCGACACATAATGGCAACATCCTGGCGGCCCAGCCAAACAGCGCGCCCGCCTTCGAGTAGGAAATAGCAGCGGCCGCAGAAGTGGCCAACAGATAACTACCACATTGTTCGTCACGCCACCTGCACTGAAACGTAACAGCTATTTAATCGTGAAATGTAGCTATCCATCCAAAAATGCTGCACTACACCAGCACCACCGCACAGTTAGCAGATAGGTACGGAACGCAGGTCCTGGTCTCTGTCTCTTCCGAGTAGGGTCTCCGGACCGGTCACCAGCGCCACCATCTCCGCGCGGTAGCTAAAGCACAGCTCTCCGGCCGGGGCCCGCAGTTCCTCGGCCTCTTCGTCCAGCCTTGTCCTTGTTTTGACGTGAGTGAATGTGCAAATGTTTTGAATGATTAGATCAGCAGCCGCGGATACGGATTCTGAGCAGTAATCGCCACGCACTTTGTATGTGGATTGCTCTTAAATGTAAATACAAATACAAATACAAATACAGCCAGACCAGCACGGCTCCCGCCCAGCACCTGAAGACTCCGCCCTCCGCAGATCCGTACGTCCAAAGCCGGACAGCACACAGGGGCAGGAACGCGAGGTGCAGCGTAGCCACGCTTTCCCTTTCCGCCGCCGTGGCCCCAGCCCGGATCGGGCACACGTCCAACCGGAAGGTGACGCCAGCCTTCTGTTGACACGGTGGGATTCTCGCTCTCGCCCAGGCCTGGCGGCCTCGCAATCTCCAGCCTCGGACCGAAGACAGGCGCGCCGGTGCCGAGGCCTTGGCGGTCGCGCGCAGGGGGTCCCCTGATGGTAGAGCCAGCGCCCTCCCCAGCAGCCTGGCAGCCAGCGTCCAGCTTCTCTCCTCCATCGGAGAAAGTCGGGCTTCCGCCATTAGTGCGTGGCACGGTGTTGAGCGCGGACACAGGTGATGATGCGGCCGCCTCTCGCAGTCCTTGCTCCAGAAGATTCACGTGCGAGGGGGCGGCCGCCGGCAGCCACGCGACGGCAGCGTGTTCGAGCGCCCCTCGGACGTAACCGATTGGCCACCGTACTAAGGGCACCCTCGTCCAGGCCCCAGCTATTCAACCAGGTCGACGGCGCCGTAGCCGTCACTCGAGCCACGCCACAGAGCTCACGCCTCAAAGCGGTTGGCTCTCCGGTCCTCGGCATCCGGCATCCGCAGTGATTTGGCGTAGCCAGGACAGGTGAGATGCCGGCCTCAGTCATAACCGGAAAGCCTGTAAAAAAAGCAATATGTGATTGACAAATGGAAATATATTGTAAGCATAGAGTTGAGAAATCATGACGCACACTGCATTGTGACAGTAGATACTTAAGTGCGATTGGCAGAGGAGGGACTTATTGTAAGAAAACAATGAGCAATTGAGGCATTGATTTGGTTCTGTAGGTAGCTACCTACCCTTCACATATGAATGTGGATGATTTGTACCATTAAGAAAAACCATAGGCGTAGGAGCGGAGGGGGGGGCATGCCCCCACTTTTCAGCTATGCTAATTTTTAAAGTAAAATATTTATTTTTCATTTAAATTCAAAACTAAGAGCAAGAAATGGTTCGGCAAGGTGAGATGAGCACGAAACTGCAAAGAATTTGTTCATAGGGGTATTACGGTTCCCACAAAGTGACATTGAAGTTCTCTGCCCCCCCCCCCCAAACTTTACGTGAGGTTCCTACGCCCATGGAAAAAACACATTGCATTATGTGCATCAACACTTAACCCTTGCACGAGGGCCACAAAGCCCACTATAAAGCCCACAAGACACCATCTGAAATCAAAGCATGACAAATGATAGCATGTAGGCACCTGACGGCTGACCTACTACATATAACCTACTGGACAAAACATACCACATATATCAATATGTATGTGCAGGTAAAGTATGAATGCTAGGTTGATACCAAGGCTGTTTAGTAGGTTGTAGGTATGCTGAAAGGATGAAAGATGGGCATTTTTTCAAAAAAAAAAAAATCTGATCTACAGTTCATATGAACATGCAACATGGGGTTAGGTAAGGTTTGATTTTTGTTTTGTACCAGACCAGACTGGAAATAATACACGTTATGCCTAATATGTCCGGCATAGTGGCGGGATTGCGCCGAAAATTTCAGCGCATGTCAGGCGTAGGTAACTTTGCATGCGCCGAATTCGGCGCATGGCGGCAAACGTCATAGCCTTGATCGGTAGATGTGCACATGTGCTTTATATAAAAAGGGTTTAATTTTTGCACAAATAGGTACCTAATTTTTGGCGCAAATTACACAGAAATTTCAGTGTCTGGGTACCCACCTTCCTGTCAAGTTGATACTTGACACACCATCCTGCTATCTGAGGCGGCCCAGGAACCAGCTCAGGCAATTACAATGAAAGTCAACAGTCGTGCGGGAATTACACCACTCCCCATTAAAATCTGATATCAAGTAATTAGTTAATGACGATAATCCCGCCACCACAAATCTTATGAAACACATCAACATTGACCTTTGATATTCCGAAAAGAAATACCCATCATGATTTAAAGCGAACGTGTTCTTACGCAGCTGTGACATAAGCTGCGCATACGAAAAACACCAGCTAGACCAATTGATGGCGAATAAACCTGTTGATGAAGAAATACTTGTCTCCCATTGGTCTGTGAACACAATCTGCAGGAAACGCAGCTTAAACTACAGTAAAATTTTGCAGGAAATTCTGCAGAAAGTAAGAAAAATGCAATTTAAACATATTTAGCCAATGAGTCTGGCCAATCTGTTGATATATTCCGATAGATATTGAGCACGATCAGTCATTTTGAAAGAATTACGGTCCGACTCTCTTTATTTTTAAAGCAATGACGCATAATATGATTATTGAAAAATTGACAAATATATTTTCTTGGAGGGAAAAGTGGGACTAGCGTTAAGTTAAAAATCAAAATTAATACACTGATCGAGACCTCGCTTTCAAAAGTATATATCAGTGCATTTTCGCATCGAATCTCTCTCAATCATGAACAAACTTGGGCAAAAACAGCAAGATTGCCTGTTTTGTCAATTCACACATTTTCATATTTGGGGGCAATTTTAAAGTTGATGGCCAATGTTTTCAAAGTCAACATTTCCACAGGAAAAAATGCAGCTATTTTTCTTCCAAATTCATTCATTTGTAGAGTCCGACTCTCTCTTGTTTTCTCGCAGTTTCCGTTGTGATTTGAGAGAAACGATCATGTGTATCATAAGCGTTTGGCTCACTTCAAGACGGCAGAATTTGCACTTGCATTTTCTGCCGTGTGGAAGACCAGAGGGAGTCAACTAATTTATGACAGAATGTGCTTAAAAAATGACTGGTGAATAATATCTTTTGTCAGTGCCTGACAAATATTTATATTTTAAATCACACTCTTCAGCTGTCAAGTGAGCTCCAAATGGCCTAAATTGTCAGCTGTTTATCATCCTAGGTCAGCTCAAGGTCACAGACGTCAGCTGAAGAAAGTGGTGACCATTGGCCCTGTGTTGAGCGGACAAACCGGTGTTACCTAGTATTCTATGTACCGTGGTCCAGCGGCGCAGAGCGGGAGGGTCACACCACAGAGCCACGAGCCGGCTGCCGTGGACGACACCAGCTGAAGAGGTGGTCCGAGCGCGGCTAGCCAGCTGCGGCCGGCGCGCCGCTGGAGCGTGGCAGAGCTCGCAGCTGGCGCCGTGCGTGTCCCGTACCGAACTGTCCCGACAGTACCGAACTGTCCCGTACCGAACGCCGGGCCGAACTGTCGCGTACCGAACTGTCCCGACAGTACCGAACTGTCTCGTACCGAACTGTCCCGTCCCGAACTGTCCCGTACCGAACGCCGGGCCGCACCCGCAGACACAGCCGATAAACCATCCATCGGATATCAATGAAAATAAAACTGTGTACCAAATACAGCCTAGAGTAACACATGTGAAGGCAAAATTAGAAACAGGGTGCAAATCCTGTCGACTCACCAGCCCGCTGGCGAGTATGAGCCATACGGCGGGTCCAGTGTCCAGTGTCCAGTGTCCTCTGTCCAGCCCCGCGCCGCGTATACTTGTGCCGTTCGTGTAATGAAGTAGTGATTTTTTCATTACTCTTTCGCATCTCCAAAAATTGAAGAAAAACACCATCGCTCAATCATTTATTGTTACATAACAATGGTCTAGAATGCATACAACAAAACAATAACAAGCACATGAAGAAGCGCAGGATCCTACATAATAGTCAACAGCAGGCCGGTCGTCTGTTCGAGTCGGGTGGGCTCAGGAGTCCGGCTGAGGGATAGGACGCTACGTGTGCCAGGTCCCCCGCGGACCGGTGTGTGGCGCTGAGCGGTCCTATGACGTGGGACCGGTGGGACAGCCGGCCCCGCCGCTCCTGTCCCGCTGGGACAGCCCGCCCCGCCGCTCCTGTCCCGCTGGGACAGCCCGCCCCGCCGCTCCTGTCCCGGTGGGACCCAGCCGCTCCCGCTGTCACCCGGATGGACCAGTCCACTGGACAGGACAGGGGTGCAGGTGACCAGTCCTGTCGACAGGGGTGCAGGTGACCAGACCTGTGGATAGGGGTGCAGGTGACCAGACCTGTGGATAGGGGTGCAGGTGACCAGTCATGTCGACAGAGGTGCAGGTGACCAGTCCTATGGACATAGAGGATGGATCACAAAAGGCAGAAACATGTCATAAAATGGACCTCTCCGTTTATGCAGTGGCCTATGTATGCTTCTTATGTTTATGCGCTAATATTTCTGCTTATCACACGATAAATAACTCATTTAAAACACAACGCATTAAACGAACGAATATAACGAGGTGCAACCCTCAGCTACATGTTTTCTGGGAGATATGAACAAATACGAGGAGACACGTAATATCAAGCTATGCTTACAAGGCAGCTTTCAGTCTCCCGAGCAGCCACAGTAATTTCGACAGGGTCCTATAGCAGGAAGTTACTTCAGCCCTGACGACTGGTAGTGCCACCTACAGCGCACAGTCGGCGGTGCTGCCACCTACAGCCGGCGGCGGCGGCTCTAGGGGCTGACGCAGCGGCGCGTCAGCAGGTTCTGTCCGGCGGCCGTGCAGGCCAGCGAGAACGAGACCGTGGTCGACTCGTTGGTGCTCGTCGTGTACCACGTCACCACGTTGTCCACGGTGACGAAGCGCGTGGCGAAGAGGAAGATCCTGCAACGAGCCGAGGGGTCCACTGTCAGGGGGGTCGGTCGGCCCGAGCGGCGCACTGTCAGGGGGGTCGGCTCGAGCGGCGCACTGTCAGAGGGGTCGGCCCGAGCGGCGCACTGTCAGAGGGGTCGGCCCGAGCGGCGCACTGTCAGGGGGGGTCCACTGTCAGGGGGGTCCACTGTCAGAGGGGTCGGCCCTGCAGACATGGGAGCGCCTGAAAACCCGACTCTGTTCGTGCTGAACGGCTCAATAGCAGAACAGGAGGCGGATGGTCACAAATGCGTTTCCATCATCTCCAACATATAGGTGAATCATACTATCATGAAGGACAAAGATAAATTACAAGCCTGACGTCATTAGAGTGAATGGCGAGATATTAGTGAATGACAAAGGACGATCCCAACGCCTGACGTGTGTGACCAATACTTCCAAAGAATCAAACCTTAAATGCTGTCACGAACTCTTTCCAGACGAGACCCCGCAGGCGACGTTGTACCCATGTCTGGTCAGCGTCTAGGGTTACGTTACCGAAGCCGATTCAGGAAAGGGAAGCGCTCGATTTGGACAGATATATTAACTGTCATGCTAGAAACACATTGTGCATGTTTTTCAATCCAAAGGAATGTGCTGTTTCGGCTCATCTAACGGTAGCAGGCTTGTTGGCACAAGACAGGCTTTTGTAATAATTAGCATCAGTTCCGGCTCATATTGTCGGTCTGCACCTTAATTAACGTTCCGGGGATCGGCGCCAGGCAGAGGGGATGACCCGGCCGGGCTGATTACATTAGCCCATTCCAGGTGGTGCAGGCGCGAACAAACTGCTTCTGTCGTGTCGTCTGTCCAATGGTCTCATCCACCCGGATGAGATTGGAAATTTATACACACTGCAGCACTACGCTCTCTTAAAGGGACCCTCCCACCTTAACATTAGATTTGAGTTGAGATAGCCAAAATGAGGTCCCTAGCTCACAATTACCGGTTTCGGCACTCACAACATCGAGAAATGCCTTAAATCGGAAATATTGAATTTCAAAATTGCAGCATTTTAATTCAGAGGTGAGAGGGGCTAATGCAACCCCTCTGAATGTGTGACGTCAGCGCAGATATCTAACGATTTTTAAATGTTTGACTAAAACGTTTTGTAGCACGCGGTGGTATATGCTGCTTTGCGCGCAACAAGTGCCGCACTTTCAGCTGCCAAACTATTGCTTCCAAATAAAGTCGCTAGGAACAGCGGAGATCCCAAAAAGTAAACAAAAGTAAAAGTCTAATATCTTGAAAACCGGTGAATATTTTTCGGTGTAATTTGGTAGATATTCGTTTTCGCTATTTCTGAACCGAGCGACATCACTTTCATGCCAATTCATAAACTTTTTTGAAGGTGGGAGGGTCCCTTTAACCCGGCAGTTGCTGGGGTATTTCGCCACCCACCGTTTGCTGGGGAGGGGGGGGGGGGCGTTAAACGCCCCCAGCCGATAACTCGAGAACCAATAGGCGCAGCGAAACGCACGAGGTGGGAAACGAAAGAACGCGACGAGACGCTTCAGATGAGTACTTTGAAGTTGAATTTTGAGGTCACAGGTCGGGTTAAGGTCAAGTCAAACACCTGAAATCGGGCTTTCAGTAGCATGGACTTCAGGACTTCGCAATGGGCGCCTCTCGTCATAAACTCTGTCAAAACGGTGCACAATCCATCATATAAGGCCTACAAGAGTGTCAGCTCCATGTAGGGGTCAGTCAAGCATAGGTCAGGGTCAAGGTCAGGTCAACCGGGTAGGCAAATATCCCCGAAAATCAGAACTAATATTCGCAGCCTGGGACACATGTTTTATGGGTAATTTGGGGCGTAGAACACGATGGTGACATTCATTTTATCATATGTGCACGTGTTTGGCTCAAACAGTTCAATTTAATAAATGCATGTATCATGGTCGTGAAGTAGTCACGAGAAATTGCCAAGATTCAGTTCAAGATTTTGGACAATGCGGAACGATAATCAATAATCGAAGATAGCCATTTGATTGTTCATGGTATTGGCAGTCTAATGGAGTTTACGGCATGTCTGTATGTCTATTTTGTGATTTTATATGATTTTTTGAACATATGCCGTTTTTGGTCGAAAACTCAAAAATCATGACGTCACTAAAACCTCGATATCTCAAAAATTTTCCGACAGATTTTTTTGAAACTTTGTCACAATATATTTCAATCAATTCCCTACAGGTACTCAAAATTTGGCGCGTCTGCGGCGCGCCGTTTTTATGCTATAGCCCGGCGAAAAAAGTGGGGGCGTTTAGCGCCCCCCCCCCCCAGCAACTCGCGGGTTAATTAAGAGGATCACCGGGATAAAAGGCCTTTTCAAAATGTTTTTTTTCATTCGGTCAATCCATACAAAGCTGACCAAATTCAGATAACTTAACCTTTCCTCGCATTTCTAGACAAGAAATCCTTCCAAGAGAAGAATGTAACTACTTATATGCTTAGACCTTATATAGTTGTATAATTACAACTACTAGCTTTTATTGACAACTACCAGCTTGTACTGAAAGTTCAGTCTGATATCTATGTGCACGGATAAAACAATGAATGAATGTGGAACCTGGATGGAAAACTGCTAAATGTCCGTACCCCAGGCCATTCACATTCCAGTTCAGAGCCCTCCAGCGAGCTCTCCCATGGTTCACGAGAGGCTACCAGCCAATGTGATATTTATTCACTTCCGATGATAACACAAAAAGCAAATATTCTAAATAGCCAGACGTTTCGGCCTCAGGGTGCCTTCGTCAGTGACAATACCGAGATACTAATACATTAATAATATAATCAATATAATCTTTAATCATGTGTATTTTGAAAGTGTAAAAGATTATATTGATTAATTTATTAATGTATTAGTATCTCGGTATTGTCACTGACGAAGGCACCCTGAGGCCGAAACGTCTGGCTATTTAGAATATTTGCTTTTGTGTTATCATCGGAAGTGAATAAATATCACAATGTCTGACACGATACATACTACCAGCCAATCGAAGAAGAATTTGATCTTTTTACAATGCACGAATCAAGTGAGCAGAGAACAGGGTGCAGGAGCGAAGCGGACCAAGTGCAAAGGATCGATCTTTATGCTACACTGTAAAAATGTAAAAAGACTTAGAGACATGTTAGTGTGGAGAGCAAATAGATATTATAGGATTAAATTGGACTTACTCCACAAGAGAATCGTTTTCGGTCGGAGCTTTCGACATGTATTACATGTCCTCTTCAGCGAAGGTCGGTAATCGGGGCGAAAATAAAACGTTCGGGTCGAATCGAATCGCACAAGATGTCGGTGAGCTGCGCAGAGTTATTTCAGGCCGCTTGAATTATAAAATAAGCAAGCCTGAAACACGTGACGACAATAAGAGTACACTCAATGAGAAAGTCTACCAAAAAACACGAACGCATACCACACTAATAAAATCCTAAAAAATATAGAAATCAATACATACTATCTCGGTACAGAAATATAAAACGTTATACATACCTATAAATACCACAAAAGTTAAAAACTACAAAGATGCTAAAGCAGGTGGGGTACAAAAGTGTAAAGAGATCAATATAAAAAACACTATCACACGATATAAATGTTAAACACACTATAAAACTACTGGCAAACACGACGAATTATTGGCAGCCAGCGGTCTTGCAGCAGCGCACCTGAGTTTCTGTTCACATTCGCATCATTAGGCGACACCAAGACGGCCTCCCGCCGTCCCACAGTCCGGATGTACGCCGACTCGAGCAGCAGTCGCATCTGGTAGTGGTTGGCTCGATTTAGTACCTTGACCTCATCGAAGGCAGGTGAACAATCCCTGTGAGCACTGAAGGCCGATGCGTTGGCTCTCGAGCGAACAGCTCCACTCCAGCTCTCCCGGTGTTCTCTGACTCTGGTTCCCAGCTCACGGTCTGTCTCGCCGATGTAGACCACAGGATCACCGTCAACTTGGCAGGAGCACTCGATCTTGTAGACCACGTTGCTCTCCTGCAGCTTCGGCAAGTGGTGCTTGGCTTTACTGCAGAGCAATGATCCGATGGTCAGCGACGGCTTGGAGACCAGCTGGATGCCGATCTTGCTGGCTTCCCGCTTGAGCTGGTAAAAACAGGAGCCAGCGAACGGGACTGACACTCTGACAGGCGCAGCTGGTGAGGTCGAGCTTGGTGGTGACGGTAGAGCCCTGGCCTTCAGTCTGAGATCCGCTTGCGCTTTCTGGATGGTGGACTCAATGAATGGGAGCGGGTAGCCATGCTGACGGAACTTGCGGCGTATAAAGTCGAACTCCTGCTGGCGGGTTTTGATGGTCGTGCAGTAGCGGATGGCTCGAATGCAGTCCGATCGGATGGCCGACCTGAGATAGCGGGTCTCGGTGTATGATGAGAATGCCGGTACTTGATCAGTGCTGCATGCTTTCCGGTAGACCTTAGTGCTGAATCGGTCTTCCTTTCTTGTTATGAGGATGTCGAGGTAGGGCAGCTGTCGGTCAACTTCAATGTCAGTGGTGACCTTGATGTTAGGGTTCTTGCCGTTGAGCAGGTTCACCCACGCACTGAGAGTGTCATCGCTGCCCTCGAACAACACTAAGTAGTCGTCCGCATACCTGCAGAATGACTGGACTCTGCCTCCGCAGCTGGCTGCCAAGAGCTCCAGATCGAGTTCCCAGTGACCCATATATAGGTCAGCGACAACTGGAGAATAACTCTTGCCCATGGCTAGGCCTGCTGTCTGCCTGAACCATCTCTCCTTGTCACCATCTTGGACCACAGCATGACAGTTCTGGATGGATAGGCTCAGAAGGTCAGCGACTGCGTCCGGTTTCAGACAGGTGACATCCGAGAGGGCATCTCGGTTGTCTTGCAGCAGAGTCCGAATGAGTCTCCAGCTGGTCTCCAAGCCGTCGCTGACCATCGGATCATTGCTCTGCAGTAAAGCCAAGCACCACTTGCCGAAGCTGCAGGAGAGCAACGTGGTCTACAAGATCGAGTGCTCCTGCCAAGTTGACGGTGATCCTGTGGTCTACATCGGCGAGACAGACCGTGAGCTGGGAACCAGAGTCAGAGAACACCGGGAGAGCTGGAGTGGAGCTGTTCGCTCGAGAGCCAACGCATCGGCCTTCAGTGCTCACAGGGATTGTTCACCTGCCTTCGATGAGGTCAAGGTACTAAATCGAGCCAACCACTACCAGATGCGACTGCTGCTCGAGTCGGCGTACATCCGGACTGTGGGACGGCGGGAGGCCGTCTTGGTGTCGCCTAATGATGCGAATGTGAACAGAAACTCAGGTGCGCTGCTGCAAGACCGCTGGCTGCCAATAATTCGTCGTGTTTGCCAGTAGTTTTATAGTGTGTTTAACATTTATATCGTGTGATAGTGTTTTTTATATTGATCTCTGTACACTTTTGTACCCCACCTGCTTTAGCATCTTTGTAGTTTTTAACTTTTGTGGTATTTATAGGTATGTATAACGTTTTATATTTCTGTACCGAGATAGTATGTATTGATTTCTATATTTTTTAGGATTTTATTAGTGTGGTATGCGTTCGTGTTTTTTGGTAGACTTTCTCATTGAGTGTACTCTTATTGTCGTCACGTGTTTCAGGCTTGCTTATTTTATAATTCAAGCGGCCTGAAATAACTCTGCGCAGCTCACCGACATCTTGTGCGATTCGATTCGACCCGAACGTTTTATTTTCGCCCCGATTACCGACCTTCGCTGAAGAGGACATGTAATACATGTCGAAAGCTCCGACCGAAAACGATTCTCTTGTGGAGTAAGTCCAATTTAATCCTATAAAATGTAAAAATGTAATGTAAAAATGTGATGTAAAAATGTAATGTAAAAATGTGATGTAAAAATGTAACCCATTAATGCCGGAATTTTTATTTTTTGATTATTTAGTTGTCCTTAACAAATGTTAGCCACACGGGTCCCAGTAAGAAAACTGTGCAAGCTTAAAAAAATGTTCCATCGGTTCTCAAGTTATAAGTATGGGTCATAAATGACCCAACCGGCATTGGCATAGTCACAAATAAGGAGTTATCACGAAAACTGATTTAGCTAGATACCTTATTGTGTATACTGTATACCGGTCTCAGCCAAACAATATTAAGAGGCACTGCATTGCAATGCTTTGCAACGTCTCATTTAAGAGGCCGTTGGTGCCGCTGGCAGGCCTGTGGTGCCCCTGTTAGGCCACTGGTGCTCCAGAGGGGACACCATAGGCCTGACGGGCCTGTGGTGTCCCTGGAAGGACTGTGGTGCCCCTGGGCCCTGACAAGCCTGAGGTGCCCCTGACAGGCTTGTGGAGCCCCTGACAGGTCTGTGGTGCCATTGCTGGGTTTGTGGTGCCCCTGGCAGGCCTGTGGTGCCCCTGTGAGGTCGATGGTGCCCCTGGCAGGCCTCTGGCTGGTGCCCCTGGCAGGTATGTGGTGCCCCCTGACAGACCTGTGGTGCTCTTGCTAGGCCGATGGTGCTCCTGCAGGCCTGTGGTGCCCCTGACAGGCCCGTGATGCCCCTCGGCCGGCCGAGTCGCCGGCCCGCCCCGCGTCACGGCCCCGGACAACCGGTCCGCTCATGATATCCCAACATCGCAACACTAGGCCTGTGGTGCCCCTGATAGGTCGGTGGTGCCCCCGGGTGCCAGGGGAGGTCATGAGTGACCCATATGACCCCCCTCCTTTGGATCCGCCACTGTGATCTGATCACAACCCCCAGAAATAAATAATCGTATAATCATCAATTGCTTCCCTTGTATTCAATATACGAGAAAATTGACAACACTATTGCCGGCTGGGTCATTTATGACCCAAGGACATTTATCGAGGAAAAAAAGTTATCCGATGGCGACAAGAAGGGCAAAAATTGTCTTTTTCAGACAAATTTAGATGCCAGGTGGACGATCATTCAATAGATAGTAAAGTGCAAACATAACATAATATTACTTTTTGGGACGGCGCGCCATTGCCAATGACCGGCGGCTGTGCAGTCCCGTCGTCTTTGGCTCCAGAAACTTCAGTGGACGAGCTCACACGAGTTTTATGCGGCTCCGACGCTCGTCGCTGAACCCACAAATCCAACTAAACACACGCACAAGTTCCTCAAAGTGCCACTTGCCTCCATTTAGAAAAAATGTTAAGATGTTGCTTTTGGGTCATATATGACCCAAGCGGCATTAATGGGGTAATATAAAAATGTCCACTGTCTACTCGCATTTTATTAGTGAAAAGTGTCCGGATAACTAGCAAATTAGTAAACCTTTTTTACAGTGTGCGACGTAACGGTACTTACCACAGCATCTGCATTTTCAGGGATAAATGAATACTTTGGTATCAGTTACTGAGCCGCTGAGCGCGCTAGGATTCGATTTCATTTTAACTCGTTTTTCCTTTTAACTCAAACGCAACACTTAGAATAGGCATCTTACCGTTAATAGTGTTTTAACCGTCAATATAACACATTTACTGTGATATTTTAACCCGTGCCCCGCTGGGCTATTCAGCCATACGCGCCCTGCTGGGGGGGGGGGGGGCAGATTCTCCCCACCCCCCCCCCCCGTCTAACTTCCGAACCGATGGTCGTATAAGGACGGGGAAAACGGCAATCGAAATCTCTCAACAAGGCGGATCTTAAGTGCTGATTTTTATTGCTTAAGTAGGTCAGAGGTCAGGTCAAGGTCAAGTCAAGGGTACAAAATGCAAGTTTCTACAGTATCGGCCTTGCATCGTTTGCCGAAGAATGGACTGAGACTGATTGCCCAAAACGTGTTCTTAGGCTACCAAGGCAATATTCGTTGCATACAATATCATGCAAAGGTCAAGGCCAAGGTCAGGTCACCAAAAACGAAATATAGAAAAGGGCATGTGTGACACATGTTTTATGGGTCATTTTACTCATAGAATTCAATAGGCACACTCAATAAGTGATATTCACCAAGGTATTCACCACATCTGGATGAATTTTAGGTCGAGGCCAGGTCAAGGTCAGGTAAAGTGAGGTCAAATTTACAAGTTGGTTGTTAAGACCTAAAAAGGTGTCTATCTAATGCAGTTTTCCACGGCGAATCGAATGGTGCTATTTTTTGTTTCCGTACGTCTAGAACTTCAAAAAAAAAATCAAAAAAATTTATGTGTCGTGACGTCAGAAAAGTTTGAATAACTTTCACATTTTTAACCGATTCTTCTAAAAATTGGTATGTCGGTGCACATAGACCACTTCTCTGACATATATTCTGCATTTTTTGACACACTTAAAATTTTGGATTTTACAATGATTTTCCCAAATCACTTCCCCAATGTTGGGCCAGCCGAGCGCGCCGAGAGCGGGGGTGATGCGGTCAAATTTACGGAGACCAGAGACCAGTCGTGCGGCAAAATGTATGACCTTCTGCAGTCGGTCCAGGCGGGATTTGGAGGCACCACCCCAGACTGACGAGCAGTACTGGAGGTGGGGGAAGACATGGGTTTGGACAAGCGGATTTTAAGGATGTCTGGGGAGAGGTGATGACGAATTTTGAATAATGATATGAGGATTGCGTTGCACCGGCGGATGATGGAGGATATGTGTAGCTCCCAGCTCAGGGTTTGGTCGAGGAGAACGCCCAGCACTTTGATATGTTTTGTTGGCCGTATAGTTACATCATTTACGTTAATGGCGAAGTCTTCAAATCTATCAACTGAATTCTGCGTGCCGAAAAGGGTGAAACAGGTCTTCTCCCCATTCATTTTCAAACTATTCAAGCTAAACCAGTGCTGGAGGTGCTGGATGTTCTCCTCGGCCCGGGACTTCAGCACTTGGATGTCAGTGGGATTGGAGGGTGCTGAGTCCAGAATTTGGGTGTCGACCATCAGTTTAATAGTCAATACAGCAAATACAATACATAGCACAGTACTGATAGCGTTACCATGAAGGCAAATTTGTAATGTATTTGCGTGGTCGGTATTGATTATTGATTATTATTGATTATTATCCGCCTAAACAACACCCTGGTTGTATTTTCCAAACTGATGGTTTTATGTTTCCTCTAAACTGATGGTTTTTAGCGTGCCAAACAACTACAACAGTTCGAACTAGAGTCTAGCAGCAGTTATGTCATATAAAGATCAGCGGACAGTCAACTTTTTGGCTTCCAAGGCCCTCGGCCCTCTCCTTCATTTTTCGCATGATAAGGTATTTGGGTATTTCGGACCTACAGCCTTTGGCATTTCGCATGGTTACCTCTTAACCGACACGAAGTGGCCAAACTCATCCAGAGCTGCAACAATAGCGCGTCCATCCCTACAGCGGCCACCGGAGAGGAACGTCGCGCCGCTGGCAGCGGACACTGAGCGGACCTGCTGACCGATATACAGCTGACCTGCTGACCGATATACCGACTGAGGTGCTGATTATTAAAGGACATATTTGTGTTATGAGGTTATCGGTGGAGCCAACAGTGCATTTAGCAAATAAAAGTAAGTGCATTCAGTTATTTGTTGGCTCCACCGATAACCTCATAACACATACCGACTGAGCAGGGCCCAGTTCATATAGAACCCCTTTGCTACTAAGGGACACTTATTGGAAAGGGGGACCCGACAGATGGGTTCATGCAGCCACCGTTACACACCGGCACCAATGTTACCAAAAGTGCCCCTTTGAAAAGTGGCACTTTACAATAGTGACACTTGCCGACTGGCTTTTCTATATGAACTGAGCCCTGGTCTGCTGACCGACACTGACCTGGCCTTCTGCTCGGCGGCGGCGGCGGCGGCGGCGTCTGCCAGCGGCGGCGCGGCGGCCGCCAGCTCGTGCTGGTCGGCCTCCTCGCTCAGCGAGCCGTGCAGCCGGGTGTCAGCCGGACTGGGAACACAGCAGCCGGGTGTCAGCCGGACTGGGAACACAGCAGCCGGGTGTCAGCTGGACTGGGAACACAGCAGCCGGACTGGGAACACAGCACACGGGTGTCAGCCGGACTGGGAACACAGCAGCCGGGTGTCAGCCGGACTGGGAACACAGCAGCCGGGTGTCAGCCGGACTGGGAACACAGCAGCCGGGTGTCAGCCGGACTGGGAACACAGCAGCCGGGTGTCAGCCGGACTGGGAACACAGCAGCCGGGTGTCAGCCGGACTGGAACACAGCAGCCGGGTGTCAGCCGGACTGGAACACAGCAGCCGGGTGTCAGCCGGACTGGGAACACAGCAGCCGGGTGTCAGCCGGACTGGGAGCACACGACCGACGCCTCAGATACAGGTAGCCGAGCTACCCAACACAGCCGGCCGTTCAGCTCTCGCCGACCAGCCTCCCGATGATAGTCCTGTCGTTGGGGGGGGGGACTGGGGCCCCCACCTGTCGTTGGCGGGGACTGGGCCCCACCTGTAGTTGGCGGGGACTGGGGCCCCCACCTGTACAGGGTGAGCCATAAAGATTTACCCATCGAAAATTTAACTTTGTTTCAAGGCGCGCTGACATAGCTATGTCATCATCTTTTACATGCATATAACAACGTCATCTCCTAACTAATAAATGTAGTCTGTTTTCTGTATGCTTGCATTATTCTTATGTTACGCGCCCGAGACGCGAGAGCACTATGGCACGCGGCCGCCGCATCGTCTTTTCACTTATTTTCCTCGATTACCCATGCTATAACAATGCTGCGCCGTATGTGATTTGCGGTGTTTCAGGGACTCAGTAGAGTCGGGTTTTCAGGATATTTCAGTTTGCGAAGGCCGTGGGGCTGAAGTCGGGGATAAATTGTGCCTAGCATTCTTTAGACCAAGGAGTGTTCAGCAGCCAACACCCAGTGGTGATTCCTGAATTTCAGGAGCGGCGGATGTGCGTTAAGACGACCTCGCATTTCAGGAGCGTAGCAGAGGCAGTGGACGAGCATACATATACAAAATGAGCTACACTGTCAGGATTGGAGACAAATTTGCGACGTATTTGCAAAAGATGGCATACCTACGCCAACCCGTTTGGAAATAAAGTGAATTTATCGATGGGTAAATCTTTATGGCTCACCCTGTAGTTGGCGGGGACTGGGGCTCCCACCTGTAGCTGGCGGGGACTGGGGCCCCACCTGTAGCTGGCGGGGACTGGGGCCCCACCTGTCGTTGGCGGGGACTGGGGCTCTCACCTGTCGTTGGCGGTGACTGGGGCCCCCACCTGTAGCTGGCGGGGACTGGGGCCCCACCTGTAGCTGGCGGGGACTGGGGCCCCACCTGTCGTTGGCGGGGACTGGGGCTCTCACCTGTCGTTGGCGGTGACTGGGGCCCCCACCTGTCGCTGGCGGTGACTGGGGCCCCCACCTGTAGTTGGCGGGGACTGGGGCCCCCACCTGTCGTTGTCGGGGACTGGGCCCCCACCTGTCGTCAGTGGGGAAGGACTCCCACCTGTGGTGGTCGGGCAGCGCGGGCGGGCGCGGCGCCGCGGCGCGCCTCCGCCGGCGGCCCGTGCAGGCCACCGTGGGCAGTGTGTTGACCAGGCAGCTGACGGGTACCTCCGTCGACACGGTGGTGATGGTCAGCACCGTGGTCGTCGACGTGATGATGTTGCCGATCAGCCGCTGCTGGCGCAGCAGGTCCTCCTCTGCCGCAGACGGAGGGCGCGGTCAGCTCCGCGAGCAGGCCACAGCGGCCCACAGCGCTTTCCGCTCGACTAAGGTCTTTTTACCTTTAATTTTACGTCTGTGTAAATAATCCTAGGCATACAAATTGTAGCAGGGGAGACTGGGGCGCATTCTGTCACATTTTCCAAAATTGGCTCTGGCGCGCACACTTTCAACTGCTGTTGTTTGATATTTTCCTGGTATATTCCTAAGGGCTCCGCCACAGACTTTTGGTGGGGGAAGGGGGGACAATCTGTCCTTCGCCCATCGCCCTAGTGTCTCCTCTAAACCTAGGGTACCCCCGAATCCAATTCAGTTTTCTCATCGGATTTAGGCCACTTATTTTTCGTCATAGTCCTGACACGATATTTTTTTTTAACTAAAAAAAGAAAAGAAAGAGAAATGGTATGTCACCTGACCCATGTTTTTATATTCAGTTCTAGCTTCCGCACATTGCCCCACCACACGGAAAAATACTCGAAAAAGCAAATATCATACTCGAATGGCATCTATCTCAAAGTTTTGCGCTGAATCTGAATCTGTTTTAGCATTGGTGGTGAAAGTGCAGGTCAGGTCTGGTCTGTCCCACCCAGGGTATATAGAACAACGGGTACACCAACGACGCGGAAAGCGCCCATTTTACCTGGATGAGTTACATGGAAGGTGATATATTTTTTGAATATGGAATAAATAGAATAGAGTATTCCATTCTTACGAGTAAAGCCAAATTTATAAAGCAGTTATTTTTAAATTATATTAGCCAGAAATAACATACTAGCCATAGTTTAAAACTTAGCATAAAGTTAGTTGAAAAGCCTATAGTTGATACTAAGATGGAAGGAATCCATGGAAGGCGGAAATGGCGCAGCTGTTTCATTCTTAAAATGTGTTCATAAGCAGGATTCATGAGATGCTAGCGACATCTATTAACGTAATCGGGGACGCTCATTGGCTGATAGAGTCCGTGAGCAGTATCGCTAACTTACGCTAGTACAGGGTTGAGGCAATGTGCGCATGCGCAGGAACTAGTGCTCTCATGGAGGGGCTTTTGGTACCTCGGGCAGCGCCCAATGCTTTTTGGACCTGTTATGGCCTCCGCATCGAAAAACGCTAGATAAAAAGGTTGTAGAGGAAGCTTGAGGCTACCTTTCCCCACAATAATATTGGCACTTTATCTTATAGCTTACGTGTGGGGCTCGCTTGAAAAAGGTCGATTTAACATGCAAAGCCTATGGGGTAGTAGTTTTTGAGCGCCCATTTGGCCTAATGCTACCAACTGTTACTGGCTACCCCTGGTCCCACCGGCTAGCCTAAGTAGGGGTCAGCGAGCACGGAAAGCTTCGTAACATGTTGCCTTATGCGTGGTTCACACCGGATCCGTAATGACGCCGTAACCGTTACGGCCGTAATGAGCTAGACATTTCTCAAGATTCCCCAAGCATTGCGACTTTTCTAGACGAAGTTGAAATGTGGCAACCAGCCGCCGTAAACTGGCAGCGTCCACCGTACTCGTTACGGAAGGTAACAGAAGTTGGGAAAATTGAACTTTTCGGCCCGACCGGCCGCCGTAATGACTTTTGTTGACATGTATCTCCAAAACGGTTTTACTGTTTGATGAGCGGTCTTCTTTGGAGAGGGGATGTATCCTTTCTTCATGGAACTGTGCTATCCATAAAACTCATGAGTGCCTGTTACAGCGCGTGCCACTTGCGACGTGAGAGGTTCCAGAAGAGCTAGTCATTTCATAACTCGGGAACGGCTGAAGCGATACAGCTCAAAATTTGTTTGTTATTTTGGCTGGGTGCACACTACACATCCGGTGACCTTTGAACGGTTTTGAATATCTTCAGCGCGTGCGCACGTGCACACCCCTTTTTAATATCTCGGGATCTGCTGGGCCGATAGCGCTCATATTTTGTATGCTAGACGACACCTAGACGACACCATGTAAATATGAATATTGCACAGGTTGGGCAAAGACATTAGTATGCACGTGCGCACGTGCGTACCCCTTTTTAGTATGTGGGGATCGGCTGGTCTGATAGCGCTCATATTAAGTATGGTGAAAAGCACTATGTTTTTAAGCATACTGCACGGGCTGGCAAAGACATTGATTTGCACGTGCGCACGTGCGTACCCCTTCTCCATATCTGGGGATCCGCTGGGCCGATAACGCTCATATTTTGTATGCCGAATGACACCATGCTGACCTGCAGATTGTACTGGTCAGCGAGGGTATTGGCTAGCACGTGCGCACGTGCACACCCTTTTTCCATAACCGCAGATTGGGTGGGCCGACAGAGCTTATTACGAGCGAGCGAGCGCAGCGAGCGAAGCGAAGTCTTTTCAATATAACGGAAAAATCTCAGCATGAGCGGCCCGGCCCAGCCCGGCCCAGCCCGGCCCGGCCCGGCCTGTAACGCTTTTGAGAGGCTTATATCTCAGCAACCGCTGGACCGATTGGCATGCGGTCTTTTTTTGCTGGGTAGCCCCATCCCTTCTACCCCGTAATTGGCTACTTTTGATGCATCTCAGTGACCGTCGTGGCACGTGCCACGTGAAAAGCCAAGGGTGTTCAAGCTGTTTTGCAAAAGTAGTGATTTTGATAGGCCCATATCTCAGCAGCCGCTTGGGCGATTGTCTTGCGGTAATTTTTGTAGGGTAGCTGCATCCTTTCTACCCAAGGTCGGATACTCTTGAATCCTTGATCTATGTGAGTGACCCCCACTGCACGTGCAAAATGCAAAAAGAAGAGGTGTCAAATTTGTTCCCATTTTAATAACTCGGTAATTACTGGGCCGATTTCGCTGAAACTTGGCATACAGGTAGGCACCCACCAGGCAATGCGATCCAATGTGTTGCGGTTAAGGTGCTACTGCACGTGCGCACGTGCAGGGGGCGCTTCCAGATCTCGAGAACGGCTGGGCCGATTGCGCTCAAATTTGGTACACGGTTGGAGACCGGTTTGTAGGGTGCCCTGCAAGTCAGTTTGGACCCCGCTTGCACGTGCGCACGTGCAGAATGCCGCTTCCAGATCTCAGGAACGGCTGGGCCGATTGCGTTCAAATTTGGCACACCGCTAGCGACCGGTTAGAAGGGTGCTTTGCGCAAGCCCGTTGGAAGTACCCTCTCGCTCTTCCGCACGTGCAGGGCTCACTATCTCGCTCGCTCGTTCTTCGCCCCAAAAGGCGTTTGTTTTACTGGTATTAAGTATGGTGAATAACACCATGCATATTAGTAGACCTTACAGGTCAGCGAGCGTATTGCTGTGCACACGTGCGCGTGCTTACCCTTTTTAATGACATGTTCCGATTGCTTGGAATTGCATCTGATTCTTTGGTAGGTTAAGCCAAGGTATCACCGAGCAGTTATGAAGCTTCCAAATGTTGACGAGGGTAGCGGTCTGCTCGTGCGCACGTGCGGACCCTTTGGCCTTTTACCTTAGCTCGAATCTGCCAATAATTATTATTTCTTGTGAGCATGCCCTCAGCGTGTAACGCTCACGGCTTACTTTGTATCTTGTATATGGAGTTCTGAGTTCTGAGTTTCATGCAGTTCTGAGTAAACTTCACCGGCCATATTGCCCCCGCTACTTGCTAAATTTGATACTTGGACTTGTAGATATTTGAAGATGTTTGAATCCACATTGACTCTTGGCAAGCCAATCGAGCAAATGGTATACAAGACAGATTCTGGCGTCCATCACCCACGAATAGCAAAGAATGTAAGAAATAAATTTCAGCGTTGACGGGCATAGACATGCCCTCTTGTAATACAAGAAATAATGCAAGAATCTCCGCGTCCAGTGCTGAGTGTTCTGCCCACCGGCGTTTAATTAACAATGCTATGACTCGATACAATTGTAGACCGCTACGTCAGAGTGAAATTAACAAATTAACCCGCGCCGGGCCGGGGGGGTGTTTGAACACCCCCCCCCTGCGGTTTTTCGCAGATATCTCAAAAACGGCGGCGCGGAGCGCCGCCGTTTTTGGCACACCTGTTCTTGAATCTTTTCCGCACATGTTGTGAAAATTTCAGACCCAGGTCACCTTAGGTCAGGTCACCAGGTCACACCAAGTGACCTCACCTCAGAAAAAAATAAGAATGCTCGTCATAGCTACACCGATTGATCGATTGCCTTGAAACTTTCAGCGATTGATGAGAGCAACATTATCTACAAAATGTTAATCTCGGAATTTTGATATCGGTGACCTAAGGTCAGGTCAATTTTACGACCTCTCCATTATAAGTCAATGGGAGAAAAATGAAAAGCGTCTGTTTTGCACGAACGCTATTCTAGACACTCTCAAACATCGAGATGTAGGTAAAATGGACACACTGAACCGGAAAATGGCAACTGTGACCCCTCGTTATGTCCTCGAGGTCATCTCAGGTCACGAACAGAATCTAACAGTTTTTCGCTAATAACTTCTGATAGAGACGTGCTAGAGCGCTGAAAACGCCTTACATGTGTTCGGCTCGACGTTGCGGATCGACTGATATGCAACATGACCTTTTCCGGTCAGGTCATGACCTTGACCTGAGGTCAAATTTTCAAGTTGACCTTTCAAGGTCAAATTATAGTTCATTCGACGCGTCTCGACGAGAGGAACACGATGGTGGCAAAAGTAATGTCGTGGCTCTTTTGAGTCAAAAGTAATTGCCGAAAAAACGTTTTTCGTAAAACCGGCTATTTTTGGAGTTTTTGCCCTCTGGAGGCTAAACCGTTGACCTGAGGTCAAATCTGAGAACATTACTCAGAAAGGTCTGTAAAAGGGCTATCGAATGCGCTTTTCTGCGGTGCTGTAGCTCTATCGGTTCCCGAGATAGCCGTTGGCAGTTTCCAAAATGTTGAAATAGTGGACATTTGACCTTTGGTGACCTCTGGTGACCTGATCTTTGACCTAACCCAAAAAATGACCGAAGTGTTTTTGGCGTCTGCACCATTCGAACTCGAGAAGTGTCTTGAAAGAAGTGAAGTGAGAAGTGACCTTCAAGGTCATGGGCCGAAGTCAGACAGATCTTATCGTTTTGGTAGATGAGGTGACAGCAACCACGACCAATCATGTTCCATGACAGCCCGGGATCATACAGAATCTCCAGTGACGGACGACGTTATAAGGAAATCGTGTTCGTGTAATTACTTTCCACCCCGTACGTAACTGCATGTGCATTGTGCAATCACCACTGCAGTCACCAATCACAGTTCTGCATGAGCTGTCCGTTTACGCAGCCCAGCCGCGCCCGCTCGTCCGACTCACCGTTTGTGCTGTCCGCCGCTGAACAGACGGCTCCGAGGGCCGCCACCGCGCACCCCAGCCACCAGAGGAACATCTTGCCCTGCATCACTGCCGTCCGGACACTGGCGCACCGGCGCCCCCGGCGCCCCTTTATCATCGGCACGGGGCGCCTTTTTGCGCCGGCCGATCGGCGCTGTCGCCGTCTGTATTCTGCCGAGGGAGCCGAGGCCGCCGATACCCTGGGTATGCCGGGACGGGCCACTGGCCAGTGACTGAGATGAGAAGTTCAGTGACTCCGGTCGGAATTCCCGGAGACTCCGAAAACCTGTCGACCCTGGCTCACACTTCACCCCACAACGTAAACATAAAAAACACATGCAGTAAGTGGGATCCGAACCCACGCTCGGCTACCGTTTGATCCAGGGTATTTTCTGCCCCTGGCTGGCAGAGCACTACACTGAGAACAATATTAACCCTCGCCCTGGCAGGGGGGGGGGGGTCGATGCGACCCCCCCTAAGGTTTTTCGAAGATAGCGTAAAAACGGCGGCGCGCAGCGCCGCCAAATTTGGCACAGCCTATGGGGCAACCTTTTTACATATGACCTGAAAATTTTAGGTCCGGGTGACCTTGGGTCAGGTCACCAGGTCAGAAAAACCGGTACAAGGTCATGGTCAAATTTCAATTTTCTGTTTGCACCTGTCCAACTCACAGTTTTCGACTGATTTCCTTCAAACTTTCAGGATGTGCTAAGTTCACCGAGTTGTATAACATATAGTCCGTTTTTTTTTTAGGTCACTGACCTGAGGTCAGTTAGAGGTCATTACGTCGTAATGTTAAGCCTATGGGAAAATACTAAATTCGGAAAATACTGGAGATATCCGCTTCGTTTTATCACTTTTGTGCTTTGAAACCACGGTACTTAACAGCAGGTCACTTGGTGCTTCTTTGTTTGGTGTACTTATCCATGGGTCAGGTCAAATGAGGTCAACTGAGGTCAAATGACGTTTTTGCCAATAACTTGGCACATAATGACGCTAGATCTTAAAAAATGGTATCATTGTGTTCCTGGTGATGAGCCGAATCAAATGATATGCGATATGATGCAATTAGGTTAACTTGAACTTAATTTATTAAGTTGTTTACTTAAAATTTAAGAAAAACTTTAAGTACACTTAAGCAAGCTAAAAAGTATATCATTCGACGCGCCTTGACGTGCTGAGTTCACTGGTGCTTTTCTTTTTGCTCTATCTTAATTAGATCAAAAGTTATAAGCGAAAAACTTTTGACCTGTTTTTAGCGAAATTTTTACATTTATACCCCCAAAACCCCCCTAAATATTGACCTAGAGCAACCAAATTTGCACAGGGGCGAGAACTCCGGGGGGCCCACCTACCTACCAAATTTGGTGTTTCTAGGTGCCATAGGAGCCAATCGCGAGGGGGGGTCGCATCGACCCCCCCCCCCCCTGCCAGGCCGTGTTATGAAAAATGCCCTGCCAGGGCGAGGGTTAAATCGACCTTTTTCAAGCGAGCCCCACACGTAAGCCAACGGATAAAGTGCCAATATTATTGTGGGAAAAGGTAGTATCAAGCTTCCTCTACAACCTTTCTATCTAGCGTTTTTCGATGCGGAGGCCATAACAGGTCCAAAAAGCATTGGGCGCTGCCCGACGCCCCTCCATTGGGCGCTGCCAAAAGCCCCTCCATGAGAGCACAAGTTCCTGCGCATGCGCACATTGCCTCAACCCTGTACTAGCGTAAATTAGCGATACTGCTCATGGACTCGATCAGCCAATCAGCGTCCCCGATTACATTATTAGATGTCGCTAGCATCATGTAAATCCTGCTTGCGAACACATTTTAAGAATGAAACAGCTGCGCCATTTCTGCCTTCCGTTGATTCCTTCCATCTTAGTATCAACTATACGCTTTTCAACTAGCTTTAGACTACGTTTTAAACTATGGTTAGTATGTTATTTCTGGTACATATATTTTAAAAATAACTGCTTTATGAATTTGGCTTTTCTCTTAAGAATGGAATACTCTATTTTTTCCATATTCAAAAACATATCACCTTCCATGTAAATCATCCAGGTAAAATGGGCGCTTTCTGCGTCGTTGGTGTACCCGTTGTTCTATATACCATGGCTGCATGCACGGTAGGCGATCGCGAAACATAAAACACCGGTCTAGGCTCGCGCACCGGTCTAGCCTCGCGAAACCTAAGAAACTTTTCCGAAAATTGGAAAACAACGCATATAAGTCGACAGTAAATTCATCAAAGATTACGCTTATTGCATTTGCATGGCTCAGGAGTCATTTTTTTTTCGTAGACAAAGGTATCGTTAAAGACAGCGTTCCGTAGCACTCCATAAGGGGGATAATCACAGTTGATTTTTACGCTCTATGAATATTTTGCGTAACGATGAAATTGCTAGGTGTTGAACATCCATTTTGCATGGAAAGTGAAATTTAGACGTTTAGACGATTCCGTCATAAAAAGCAAGTAGACAAAATCAGTTCAAAATGTCTTATAATTAGGTTAACTATTAATTTATAGTCTTTTCTTCCGCCGAACATAACGTTCACTGAATTTACCAAGTCCAGCAAAAAAAAAAAACGTATTACGAGGAAGAACTGAAAATAATGCTGTATCGCTTGGACTAAGACACCATCTATTAGGGGAGCCAGTGAAAATTTGCAGCCACTTGCAGCCCTGGCATCCAGAAACTTTTTTCTTCTAAGGGTTGGCACATGAGCATAGGGAGTAAATGCCCTAAATGGTTATTTCGCAACAGCTCAAAACACCCCGGCGATAGAGCTGCGAGTTGACATACCTGACCTTTTAATATGTGAGATGGTGCTTTTTGCCATGATGAATAGATATAAATATGTAAAAATGATCAATAACATGGCAGAAATGTAAGACTTTTATTGTAAAATAGGCCAAATATGAGAATGAGCTTTCGCTTTACAGCATCATCAGATTCATTATTTTATGACATTTAAAAATTCTAGCTACACACAAAGTCTATCACGCGCTCAATGTTAGGTGGGAATATCGCAATGCAGATACATACATTCTTGACACGGACAATTTCGAACATAAATCTTTCAGCACATATGTAGAAGTGTACAAAGGCAAACAATAGGTTAAAGAAACGAGAGGCACGAATTATATCATTCACATCTAGATATCTGATAGGTAGAAGAGTACTGGGCCGACGAGGAAGCCCGGCTAGCCCGGCGATAGCCTCGTCGGCCCAGTACTCTTCTACCTATCAGATATCTAGATGTGAATGATATCTTTCGTGCCTCTCGTTTCTTTAACCTATTGTTTGCCTTTGTACACTTCTACATATGTGCTAAAAGATTTATGTTCGAAATTGTTCGTGTCAAGAATGTATGTATCTGCATTGCGATATTCCCACCTAACATTGAGCGCGTGATAGACTTTGTGTGTAGCTAGAATTTTTAAATGTCATAAAATAATGAATCTGATGATGCTGTAAAGCGAAAGCTCATTCTCATATTTGGCCTATTTTACACTAAAAGTCTTACATTTCTGCCATGTTATTGATCATTTTTACATATTTATACCTGACCTTTGATGCAAGCTGGATCTTGGGACCTATATACGGCCTTGCTTGGGACACCAACCGCACTTTCAAGTCAGGTCAGGTCACTGCCCTATGACGTCATAAATTAACCTATGCAGCATGCACGGTCCTCGGATGTCGCAACTTTGCAACGCTCTCAGTGCCAGAGTAACTTTCATAGGGAGGTGAAACTTTCAGGACGTCTTATGTCTTCTGTCTGTCCTCTAGAGATCTTACAATCTTTATATCTCGGATTTTTCCTAAATATCACCTAAGGTCGGGTTGGTCACGTGACTTCACCTGTAAGTCAATGGGAAATATGAAAACTGTTATTTTGGCGCCATGCAGGAATGATAAAACAATCGTCTCAAGTACATGGAATTGTTATTTCATTCACTCCTTGCAAGATCTGATGCTTCATTTTTGCATTGTTGACCTTGCATGACGTCATTTATGACGTCAGTAGGGTCATACGCGTTTTTCGTCAATAACTCCCGATCAAATTGCGCTAGAGTCAACAAAGTCACCAATAGACTCCGAAAGACCTGCCAAATCGAATGCTATGCGATATGACCTCGTTCGACCAAATTCGCGACCTGAAGACCTCTGACCTGACCTTGACCAGGGGTCAACACCTTACGGTGGCCTCGCCTGAACAAAAAGTACACCATTCGACGCGGCTGAGCAAGGCGAACACGACGATATCAAAATCGTGGTTCATCGGCCATTTTTTCCGAAGTTATTTGCCAAAAACCAAACCCGCTGCTTGGGTTACGTTATGAAATGGGGCCTTGCCGGGCAAGGTTTACGCTGTTTCATGATATGCTTAAATGGGCAGGGCATCAATGTTTGAATAAAAATTGTTTTTAAAGCAATTCACTATGAAGGTACACACCATTTGAATGTCTTACCCAACTCATGTCGACTGTCGTCATAAATTTTGACCTATCCTCAAAAATATTCATTAGTTATTCGAGTGGTAATAAGGCAAATTGCAAGCTCACCACAGAGCACAAATCCTGAAAAAGGTAGTTCTTATTTGTGCTTATTAGATCTTCAAGAAGGTTGCTCCTAAATATTGTAGTTCTAGCATAAAAAACATGGATGTTATTAAAGGGACATGTTCATGCCTAACATAGGGAATGGAGTTGAGATAGCAGTTTTGCTCCTTATATGCTAAAACCACATAATCCGGAGCCATTCGTCTCAAAAATATAAATTGACAGCGCTAGAGAGCAATTTCGATGGTTTTACCAGATCGCCAAGGTCTTTACCAGATATGACCAGAGGTGTATGACGTTAGCAAGAAAAAGCCTAGATTTCAAGTTAACGGGAACGAATTCTCCTAACTGGTCTTTTTTAAAATTGTGTTCAAGATTGTCCGCAAGCAGCATGTTGAGACGACGCGGGCAGACGGAGCGCGAATCGTCGCAAAGCTCTTCAGAATGCTTGCTTCTGATTTGGTATTATTCTTTGACGTTCCAAGCTGAAGAACTCAATAAGACTTTCCTC